GAGAGAGAGAGGGAATCGAGAAATTTGTATGGGGAAAGAGAGAGAGAGAAAGAGAGGTAGAAAGAGAAAACGAAAATCGAGAAATTTGTGTGGAGAAAAAGAGAGAAAATCGAGAAATTTGTATGGAGAAAGAGAGAGGGAAAGAGAGGTAGAAAGAGAAAACGAAAATCGAGAAATTTGTGTGGAGAAAGAGAGAGAGAAAGAAAGGTAGAAAAAGAAAACGAAAATCGAGAAATTTGTATGGGGAAAGAGAGAGGGAAAGAGAGGTAGAAAGAGAAACGAAAATCGAGAAATTTGTGTGGAGAAAGAGAGAGAGAAAATCGAGAAATTTGTACGGAGAAAGAGAGAGGGAAAATCGAGAAATTTGTATGGAGAAAAAGAGAGGGAAAGAGAGGTAGAAAGAGAAAACGAAAATCGAGCAATTTGTGTGGAGAAAGAGAGAGATAAAATCGAGAAATTTGAATGGAGAAAGAGAGAAGGGGGAAAGAGAGAGAGAGAGAGGGAGAGAGAGAGAGCAGGAGAGAGTGAGAGTAAGAGTGTAAAGGTGGAAAGAAAGAGTGATCCATCTATCTATCTCTTTCTTTCTTTCTTATTACTCACTCTCTCCTCTCTCCTATCTCTCTCTCTCTCTCTCTCTCTCTCTCTCTCTCTCTCTCTCTCTCTACCTATCTATCTATCTCTCGATACAGACGACGTAGTCATCATAACAGACAACACTATTATCTTGCATCGGTATTTATCAGAAAAACTGTAGTAGTGAGTTTGCCGGTTTTGGTGAGGGTTGTTGTTTTAACATAAGCTTACTGTCTATCACTTATTGACTTTATCACTCCTCGTTATGTCTTTTTGGAACCATTCTGTGATGGAGGATTCTGTTCGCTTTTGTTATCCCAAGAATTCCTGGCGTTTTATATGGTGTTGCAGATCCTCCTCTTCTGGCCCTTGTGCCTTTTCGTTACCTAAAATGTGTCCTAGTATGCAAGGTATCATCAGGACTATATTATATAGTATATCATTGAATATACCCATTTGGAGGATATGTAATAAGGAGGAAGAAACAGCAATTGGTATCAACTTCGAATGCGAAGCAAACGCTCAATGGAAACATAACCTCGGATACAAACCTAACCCAGGGAAAGGAATTGTAGTAAGGACATGACCTAGTACTTCTTAGGACAAGGACCAAGTTGATTACACTGAACTAAGGAACTAAAAATGTACAATAAGTCAAAAGGCTGAAGTGCTTGGGAAACAAAAAACTCCGACTTCCTGGTTATATTTATCATCACCATCATCATGCAGTGAATCGAAGTAGATCTGCCCCACAATATAATTGGTGTTCTGATGTTTTATATAGATTGTTTAAAACGTGAAAATGTGTATAAAGAATAATTGCTTGAACAAAAATCAGTAATAGTAAGAATATAGGACTTATTTGTACCTGCTAACTTCATTATTTCATTATTAGCGCTAAGTAATTCAATTGCCAATACACAGACATAAATAATGTTGGAACATGACTACACCTTATTTTCCTCTAACCTGAAAAAAAAAACTTGTTGTTCTACGACACATTGGGCCAGAAAGAGAAGAGGCCAGAATAAACACCATCACAAAAAGCTTTATTTAAAAAATATTATCGAACATAACACAAATTGTAGTCTAAAATGGCATAACGGGACGACTACAGAAGGTAATGTTGAGCCGCTACGGATGCCGAAGACCACCCTCGAGGTTAGGCGGAGAATATTGAATATTGATCAAACTTCCGACAACGGTTTATAGACATGAAGTTCAACAGGAAAGTTCATAAGTATACACAATTTATTTTGTTTCAAATTACTTGGGTAAAGTTTCAAAGTTCATTTAGAAAAGAGTTTCGGACCTGATTGGTCACTGTCAAATCGAACCCAACCACTGCAGACCACCAACTCAAATGATCATTAATGACACCGAAACCGAAAAAAAATTATTCAAAAGTAAAGTTTGAAGTTTAAGAAATTTCATGAAATGTAAATCCCGGGTGGTTAACGAACAAAAAAAACAGTATTTCTATAAGGTCAAAGAACCGTTAAAAACATAGATTTTTTTAAAAATGGTTTCAAAGGAAAGAAAATGATCAAGGTTAGTACGCACAGTGAAAGAAGAGAACGGGCGATCGTGTGATAATCTCAGTTTGACCCCTGCTTCTGAACTTTTGCCGTGTCCCCTGTGATGTTGCCTTTACCGTTTGACTACTAACACCGCCTTGTGCATACTAATATCAAATTTAAAACTATAAACTTTTCTCCGGAAAAGACCTCAAGGATTAGCTCGGATAATAATGTTTTTGTCATCTTAAATGATTTATTTTTCTGTATTATAACGTGTTTTTTCTTTCAGGATGAAGGGGTGCTAGGACCGAATTATGGCTCCTCTCAAGGACACCTCCTTCACCTTCTCAAAGGGACTCCTGAACGGTCCAGGTCAAAACAACTGCTTTTTAAACAGCGCTGTACAGGTAATTAATTTTTATAGCGGAAACGCTTTTAAACAATTAGCTCCACATATTTTATGATTTCTGTCTAGTTTGACAGGTCTGATTCCTAGACACCTGGTCTAAGTCAGATAAAACTTGGTTTGTTGAACATATTGGCTGTTTTGTTTCATCAGTAATTCATGATCATCCTAATGAAAACAATTCATAGAACAATTGCAGCAGACGTTTCCCAGTGGGGAAAAAAACATGGGCGTCGGTCGCTTATGTCATATGCCCGGCATATGTTGCCCGTGTGAACGTCGAACTAGCACGTGTACTCAACGTATTTCACACCTGATCTAATTTCCAACGATTGCATTAGTTTTGAACGTTTTTCGACTGCAACTTTTCAGAAGGAACGCTTTCCCAAGAGGCATTTGCCGTAAACAGTTCTAATGGAAGTTAAATGGCTGTTTGTCACAAATTGACTAATTGGAAAGTTATCAGTATTCTTATTTTATTATAGGACTGACAAATAGTTTATAAACTTGAAGAACAACCGAAACAATCTATAAAAACATTAATCTATGAAGAAAGAAAACCAGACAGAAACAAACAACATATCTAGAAACATGATATGTTTTTAAATGATAGATTTAGCATTTCTGCCAAGTGTTAAATATAAATCCTTGTAAAAAGAAATTACATCGGGATTGGAGATGACGTGAACGTCTGTTTATGTCATCCTCTTCACAGCAAGACCACGCAGACCTGACATAGTTGACCTATTCACTCAAATGTACGCTATGTAAAAATATTTAAAATTTAAAATTAGGACTTTCAAGCAACTGTTATATTGTGTCAAACCTGTTAATGCACAATTAACCAATTAACACACTAATTAAACCACAATTAACACGTTACTTGAAAAATTTATTAAATTAAGAAGTAAATTGATTAATTAAAAGTGGATGTGTTTTTGGACCATTTTCGCGTCATTGATTTCGCCTTTCCGAGGGGAGCGCATGGGCCAAGTTAGGTTAGATTGGTATGGTTGGGGTTAGATTATATCAGAAATGGTTAGGTTAGGATGGTGAAGGGTTAGGTGAGGTTATGTTGCGTCTTTCTCTATCTCTCTCTCTCTCTGAACAAGCAAGTATCTTTTGGGTTATATTAGGTTATATTAGATTAGAAATGGTAGGTTAGGATGGTCTAGGGGTAGGTTAGGTTATGTTGCCTCTTTCTTTCTCTCTCACTCTCTCTCCCTCCCTCCCTCCCTCCCTCTCTATCTCTCTCTCTCTCTCCCCCCTCTCTCTCCCCCCTCTCTCTCTCTCTCTGAACAAGCAAGTATGGTTGTTGTTATATTAGATTAGAAATAGTAGGTTAGGATGGTCTAGGGTTGGGTTAGGTTAGGTTATATTGCCTCTTTCTCTCTACCTCTATTCTCTCTCTCTCCCTCTCTCTATCTCANTATATATATATATATATATATTTATATATATATATTTCATCTCCCTCTCCCCTTTCACCATTAATTTTAACATGGATATAATTTTGGGCTGGGTACAAAAATATTTTTTGCGTATTTTTCTACTCATCAAAGTCGCGGCGCCGGGGAATGCGCATGGGTTGGGTTAGTTGAGGTTAGGAATGTTTAATTAATTTTTGAACATGTGTTATTAATTTCAGAGTAAAAGTAAAACCAATAAATAAATAAATTAATTAGCAATATTTAAGGTTGGTAAAGCATGCTTACTTAGTCATAAACTTATCCCTTAGTTATCGTATTCTATTAGTAATTTAGTTTAATTTTCAATCACAAACCTTTCTGTATTTTGACTCTTTCGACATAATACTCAGGTGGTTTGAGTTAGAATATGTTAGGAAGCTTAAGGTTAGGTGGGGTTTGAGTTAGAAATGGTTAGGCTAGGATGGTTGAGGGTTAGGTAGGATCAGGTTTAGTTTAGGTATGTTAGGCGTTAGTTTAGGTTCATGAATTATAAGATTTAGTTGGGGACGTTCACGGGTTAGGATACATATCCGTGATTACACGTTTTTCCGGAAAGCGAAGAAAATATGTGAGCGCAAAGCGCGAGTTTTAAATTTCAAGTTTTAAAATATTAGTCTAATGTCCAATCTTCATCATTCTATAGAGCTCTTCGTTAAGCTTAAGGCATTTTGCCAGAAGCATTGTTAAAGGTTCTTGTATGATCCTTTGGGAGTAGGAATCAGCCTGTTTAGGCCTTCGCATTAACAGAGGACATGTTCCCCTGTTTTTTCTTTTGGCAATATCAACACAGGCTTGTTTCTGAGTTAGTCCAGTCAGCAGTCGTACTATATTCCATAATCTCAGGACGCCATAAGTTTAGTAGTTTTGTATGTTAGGAAGCTTAAGTTGCTAATGGTTAGGTATGGGTTAGGAATGGTAAGGCTAGGACGGTTGAGGGTTAGGTAGGATCAGGTTTAGTTTAGGTAGTTTAGGGGTTATGTTAGGCCTTCGCATTAACGGAAGACATGTTCCTCTCTTTTTTCTTCTTTTTGGCAATATCAACACAAGCTTGTTTCTGAGTTACTCCAGTCAGCAGTCGTACTATATTCCATAATCTCGATAAAAACATCAGTGTCACGAGCGGGATTCGAACCCACGACCTTCGGCTAGAAACGCCGCTACTCTACTACTTGAGTTATTGTGACTTCGATTCACTCGGACACTAACTTCCCATCTCAATCGCACCTTTTGAATTTTCCCTCCTTTTTGCCATTTTTCACGATAGCTCAAGTGGCGTATCTAGCCGAAGGTCATGGGTTCGAATCCCGCTCGTGACACTGACTTTTTTATCTCAACTAAAAACCTTAATTAATTGAAAGATTTTAGTAGAATGCTGTTATTTTTTCGATGGTATATTTATAAACTTTTTTTAATGTCTCTGGGATACTTTAACGTTGAACCACTTACTTATCCTAAACTTATTGTCTGATATGCATTTTTGGCAATTACATATGGTGCAAAAACGTCAGGGCTGATGGATGTCCTGGCTGAACTTTCCTTGGCCAATATTACAGCTCCTTATACTTCTGACCTGGGGCCCCGAAACAAGGGTGATTATGATATTATCCCCAAGGTTCTTAATTATTTTTTTCTACCTTTTACTCGCTTTTTGTAATCTTGATTAAAAAAAGAGTTTTTTATCTGATAATGAGGCAATATAGGTGAAATAACTGCGTTGAATACACGACATTTGAAAAATGGCAAATAGGAGGAAAAATTCAAAAGGTGAGGTTGAGATGGGAAGTTAGTGCCCGAGGGGATCGAAGGCACGATAGCTCAAGTGGTAGAGTAGCGGCGTATCAAGCCGAAGGTCGTGGGTTCGAATCCCGCTCGTGACACTGACTTTTTATCTCAACTTAAAACCTTAATTAATTGAATGTTATTAATTGGTCAAGCGGACCACGAAAAATAGTGAATTTATTGTGTTGAATAAGTTGTCATCCTGGTACGCCAATACTGAATGGAAAGAACTTCTTCGCCATCATCAGAACTACTCTGATCAAGAAAAACGGCGAATTTAAGCGGACCCAAGTTCCATAACGAACAAATACTCGATTTTACACTTGATTGTTGATCTCTGTCTTGGATTTCTAACAAATAATTATAATGAACAATTTATATCCGTTGTAGTTTTATGTAACGGTTTTGTCATGAGACGATTTATAAATATCACGCACAATAATAAAGTTAGACATAAAAGACTTGTCAAAACAAATCCATTAGTCATTTTACGAGCAGTTCCATATCAAATGCCGAACCGGCCGAATGTAAATTTTCCTGGCGTGATTGATCCTGTGCTAACCGTCTATTTCGGGGGGATAAACAATCCCTAAGAATAGACAGATTTTTGACGCCAGGTTCAAGAGAAACATGGGCGATCGATTACAATACGTTAAAAAATACCACGGCGTGAACAAGAAAGAGATCAAGGGCGATTTCGTAAGAGATAAAAACTATGACATTTTACATTTTAAATGAAATTCCAAGTTGAAATAAATAAGGAAATAAAGACCGTATAACATAAACAACTTGTTGTTAGTTGGCAGCCCACCCCAGTAGGGAGATCGCATTTTTATTCACATTCTTAAAGTTTCACCTTATAAGACGCTTCTTGTGATGACGTTGTTCTTTGTTTTGTCTAAAATAAGTCCTTGAACTGCGGAAGACATCAAAATTGGGCCGGGGAAATCATCGGAGTGAATCAGAAGTAGCAAGGCTTTTCGCTCAGGTGCTAATCTAAGTGAATCATGTATGACAAATACACTTTCGTCTTCCTTTTTTTGGAACTTATAATGCCTTGGATGGACAGACATTTCCGATTCTAAAACACCGGGCCTGCTTGGTGATTCACTCTTTCTAAATTAAATTATAAATATATAAATAAATCTTATATTGCTATTGTTTTCCCAGACAGGACTTAACTTTTGCACATTTTTAAGGAAATCTATCTACAACAATTAAAATAAAACCATTGTGTTTAGTGGTCTAATGACCAAATTACTTCTTTCAATTATTCTTTTTATGTAAGATCTTGGTTGAGATGAAAAAGCTAGTGTCACGAGCGGGATTCGAACCCACGACCTTCGGCCGATTCTATGACTAAGCCGAAGGTTATGGGTTCGAATCCCGCTCGTGACACTAGCTTTTTCAACTCAACCAAGATCTTACGTAAAAAGATTAAAATAAAAACTCAATACATAAAAAATTAATAAAGATTAAAATCTTACAATTAATTAAGGTTTTTTTTTAGTTGAGATAAAAAAGTCAATGGCACGAGCGGGATTCGAACCCACCATCTTCGGCTTGATACGCCACTGCTCTACCACTTGAGCTATCGTGACCTCGATCTGGTAGCTCAAGTGGTAGAGCAGCGGCGTATCAAGCCGAAGATTGTGGGTTCGAATCCCGCTCGTGCCATTGACTTTTTTTATCTCAACAAAAAAAAAACCTTAATTAATTGTAAGATTGGTCAAGCGGACCACGAAATTAGTGA